TGACAAGGAACGTTATCAGAAACTTTACACACACTCACCTGACCGTAGCTATCAAGACAAACCGCACATTTTGCAACCAGAGGAGTATCGCGACTGCCACCATCGATTGTTCTGTGGTTCGTCGAGTCATCGTTTGATTCACTTAAAAGGTCAGCTGTATAGTACACCTTACGAGGACAGTGCTCGATCTTGTAGCGAACCTCGACAATCTGAGTCTTCGGCTGCTGGACGGTGCGGCCGTGCCATTCGATCTTACAGAAGACAGCGGCCGACGGCGAAGACTTGTAAGAGTTGGAGAATGAACCGTCGAATTAGTGTCCGGCCTCGTTACGGCGTTCTCGAGGTTACTCGCGCCTGCACGTCGGCTGCGGGAAGCACGCCTTCGTCTGCGGGGCACCCGAGTCTCCTGCAAGCTCCATTGACATGACACGAGCACCGGCAAGCGACTTTTCACTCACCTGAGACAATATTTGGATTGATGGCGATCGTGTCAGATCTATGCATGGCTGCTGCTGCAGCAAATGCCTCTGTAAGGCCGCCAAACTGCCGAAAAGCTCCAGTAAAGGTTCGTCATCGCTGTCGTCACTACCCGTGAGATCAATTAGAGAAAGAGTAGCGTGTTCTCCGTCTGAAACAGTAATGTTACCTGAAAATTCCATAGCTAAATCTTACTTAAACGACTCTGCCTTCTACGTGACATCTTCCAGGACACACTAAAAGTCCAGTACCGCCACTTTAAAGCACGATGAAAAAGGATTCAAACGCTTTCTCATTCCTATAACATCAATAAAATAGTACCTGTTGCTATGTACCTACGAATCTACTGTAATACATAAATATAGATCTTGTATGTCCCAGACAAATGATTGATCACACGTAGTGCAGTAGGATTGATTGATCACCAATATTTGTTTTCTCTCATTAAAATTTTTGACGCTATTAGAATAGCTATTCTTGAACAGGAGGCCAATATTTTTTTTTAGGTATTCTAGGCTGATTCCGTGTCGACCGTTAAAACAATATGTCAAAATTTTGATCACAAAAATCTTTCGAAGGTACAAATTTCATTCACAAAATTCCTTAATTTTTGCGCTGAGCTGAATCCAATTATTACCGGTCATTACATCTCACGTATTACTAATACTTGACATTTCTATTAGAGACAACAATATAAAACTCCTCCGATGTAACTCTTACGTCAGAATAAGAAAGAAGAAAGGTCTGGAAACGTGCGACATCTCTCGTAGAACCATACCATTTGCTCCTCATGGCATCGCTGTTATGGAACATTCCACCTGAGTTACAAATGCTGCGCACGCTCTTATGCAAATGCCACAGACTGCGAAAGATTAGCTGCCAGAGCTTACGATGATAGCCAGCGGCGTTGCAGTTCAGCAACTGTTGCATAAAATGGAGAGAAACAAGACGAAGATATCAGTCATCGATGGATTCTCTACCCTCTATGAGCAGACGAGGCAGACGACGCAATGCGATTATAGCACGTCAGAGAAACTTCAGTCGTAAATTTGAACATATCTTCACTCAGATGGAAACAGCAGGCGTTATTTTATCAGGTCGCAAGATATTGACTGGATACAGTTGAACTCTCGTCATCGAAGCGCTAGGGCACTTGAACTATGAACCTCTGCGAGTGAAATCACTTGTAATCAGCTATGGACATCACAATGCGCATTCAGATCAGTGTTGATTTCATTGCAGGACCCAACGAGGCTCGTAAAATCATTGAGTTAAAGCTCGTCAGCCTAATCACGCGACTAGAGTTGGAACGGGCTAATATTGGGCAGAGGAAGAACGTGTCCTTCGTGGACACAGAAAATGATCTATGGAAAGTGCCGCCTGTTGAGTTCGTCATTCCAATAAGTGATTTCACTGTGCATGCCGGAACCGACACCCTAAAGTAGAAAGCCGTAATTTGAGACAACGGCCTTAGCGAACTCGACGATAACAGCACTAGGGTTTTGCAATTTTGTCCAAGCAGGGAACCGTTCGTTATGAACAACTTCTTTGAGCATCAAAACGTGCATCAGTATATCTGGTATAAAGAAGTTTGTGCACAGAAGTCGATGATCGATTTTATAATCGCATCGTCTGAATTTTTGCGTTAAGAGAGGCACAGTGCTCTGTCAGCCGATTATCAGGTTGTTGTTGGCACCCTCAGCTGTAAACGATGGAATAACGAGCGAGGTTTTGGCGGCAGAACCAAAGATTTGAAAGGGAAACATTATCTTCTGGAGATAATAGGGCAAAACCTGCAAATGCCGTCGCATCAGGATTAGAACAGATCCGAGTGATGACATATGACGTGGAAAGTGAATAGAAGCTCGTAAAGAGCAGCTAACTCAGGACTGCCGTTGAAATATGTGGTTTGAAACGAGTTGGCCTGTCACCTGAGAATCTGAAACAAACTTAATAGTGGAGACAAAAAGTTCAGCCACTGTTACCAAGAAGAAGGCTGCATTCAAGAGGTGGGTCAAAATTTCCAACAACGTTCTGCTCGAACTAATTCTAACCACTGTGACAAATGCAGAGCTGAGTCTGTAGACTAAACTCTCAACGTTCAAATCGATCTTCGATGCTGACGTATCGTCGTGACTAAAAAACTTTGATACCTGGCGCAAGCCCCTAAAATAGAATTTCTGAGATGAATCGCTGCATTCAGGTGTTTCGACATAGTCCGAAGTACAAGTATCTGACAGACCTTGATTATAGTCGCTGATTCTCCTGATTGAAAAGTTTTCACAGCTGCAGTGGTTTAGGCACGTTCAGCAAATGCCTTCAGAAGGAAAGAGAAAACATACAGTACCTGCCCAAGCAATCGGCTGAAGATTACGGGGATGGCGCAAAATAACCTGGACAAGTGTATGGAAGGACTCTACTCTAGATTCGGGTTATCTTCTGTTGAAGCTCAAATGCTGGCACAGTGTAGAGAGTGTCTGACGTGTCTGCCTCAGTGACCGAAAAGGATAGGAGGTCATCGAAATTGATTGAATGACATCAATACATCATCTTCTTCATCTTCCATCGCCGCTTCTCCTTTCGGGTC